ATTTTTAGAGTGCTCATTATTATATTACCATAACACGGCAATCTTTATGCAACATATACCACTGAAAAGGAACATTTTTTGTAACTGCTAGCTGAGTTAATTTACATAAATCTTCACATTTTTGAGGTTAGTATATTTATTAATCATTGCGAATATCCTGGAGGTAAATTCAATAGTACAACTTATAAATGTGCCCAAGATTTACTGAAAAAACTTGACGTATAGAAGGTTTTTTATTTGGCTTTACATGAAAAATAGAATATAAGGAAAAGAGTATGGGTGAACCGCTTGACAAAAGAAGATGTCCTTATATTATTATTCCCTTGGGTTCGAATTGGAGCATAGGACTTCAGCAGCACACCTCCATTTTACTACGTTCTCTGCAGTCCTTTTCCACTGGCTTCTCAATTGCCCATAAGCTTTTCCCCTCATCATATGATCTCCTCCACGTCACTCTCAGATGCCTAGCTCCTTGTTCCCCAGTCATCTTTCACTCTAGGGTCTGGCTGGCACGTGATGTAATTCAACAGTCTCTTCAGTGTATGTTGAACATGTCGCTACTTTTTCCTGCTTAATTTGTGTCAGTCTATCTGGTTAAATAATTTCTGTGATATCTGGCAAAGATAGGACTTCAGGTGAACATAGAGAAAACAAAGGTCGTGAAGATTCCTGCCAACATCAACAGTAGCAACAACAACAGACAAAAATCAGCAAAAATGGGAGATATTTGAAGGAAGTATCATTTCAACTACAGGCGGACGGAACTGATGAGGATATCAGAGCGAGGATCGGGAAAGCAAGGCAAGATTTCATGACTCTCAAACCTGTGTGGAGATCAACAGCTTCTCCTTCTTTTCTTTTATTCCTTTACGTTCCTAGTGAAGCATAGGGCTTCAAGCTAGCACTATGAATTTTCGGTAGCAGTGGCGTTTATTTTTACGGGTTGTGTTTGCTAGCCTCACGCCCAACCTTCCCTCTTCATCAGTCTTATTACTGGTTTAGCTAGGTAAATCAGTGCGTCGACCGAGGATCAAACCTCGGACCAAATGTGTGGATGGCGAGCATTCTATTGCTGTGCCACCATCTAAGAGATGTCATTGACATCTACTGTTTCACATTTCTATCAGTGACCAACGGGAATATATTCTTACTATGTTGATTTGACTGTCTGTTGCTTTATATAGTAAATCTGGAATAGTGAATTGTGAATAATGACTGTCTGAATGAATGAATGAATTAGTTTCAACATCGAACTTTACGCAGACATGCAGCAGTTCAAGGTGCCACACCACAAAACTCAACAAACGAGATATAAGAAGAGATTCAAAAGAACGTCAACACGCAGAGGGGTGCAGGAGGGAGAATAGTAGCCTAGAAAAAAATGTTTGTGTAGTGGACGTGGGAGGTCACAAGTAGTGAGTGCATTGGCGCCGATGGGAGGCATTTTAAGCCGTATCACTAATAGTCTCCAGTTATTGATCTTTAGTATCCAACGCGAGCAGTCCACACCTCTCTCAATGGTTCAAATGAACTGTCAGAGATTTCATGAAGTGATGCAGAACTGATGAGGATATCAAAGCGAGAATATCGGGAAAGCAAGACAAGCTTTCATTACTCTCAAGTCTATGTGGAGATCAACAGCAATGCTCAGCATTAAAAATAAGATCGGGATTTTCTACTCTAGTGTGAAGTCAGTGCTTCTATACGAATCAGAGACTTGACGTGTCATGAAGGACTTTTCAAACAAGCTACAAAACCTTCATCAACAGCTATCTTCGCTCAACACTCAAGATCAGATGGCGAGAAAAGATCAGCAACAGGGATCTCTGTGTACGATCGAACCAACCGAGCAGAAACAAATTGTGCAGCAAATATGCAGGAAAAAATGGAGGTGGAATGCATTGGCCGTATTCTGAGAAAATTATAAAGCGACATCACTCGGCAGGCAATCACTCGAATGGAACCCGAACGGGAAGCGGCGAGTTGGTCGTCAGTGCGAGGGTGACATGGAGGAGAATTTCTTGAGAAGAGGGGATGAAAGCATGTGGAATGACGTGGAGCCAGGTGGAAGCGTTGGCGGAAAACCGAGTGCAATGGAGACGTCCGGCTGAAGCCCTATGTTCCTCGAAGAACTAAAGAAGACAATAATAATATAATAATAATGACAAGAAAATATAGTTTTATTCTTCTCTATTTCTTTTTTATTGTGTTGTATCCTCAGCAGTTTTTTGTGGATATTTTACTTCATTTGCATATCTGAGAGTCATATATCACCAAAATTTATTGATCTGCCTACTATCATCCTTTCATACTTCAAGTTTCCTATTTTTCACACTTATCATTTTTGGCATCTGAGTTTCATTCGTGTTCATGTATTTTATTTTATCAGTAGGAATTGTATCTTACCATTTATTTTCTTTTACCATCTTTTTTTTCTTCCATTTTTTCTCCTTATATCTTGCAGTTTGACCTTATACTTCTTTCTATCCGAGGAAAGTTAAAAGATGACCACGTGAGAAGCTCAACACACATACTTCTTATTCATACCCTCAAGTATTTCACCCCGAGATATCGATAATAATGATCACAAATAATAACAATAGAGGTCGGGATTTTAGGCAGAAGAAACGTTTTTTTTCTTTCTTAATTCTAATCTTCTTTTTATCAATAAAATCAGGTTATACTTATTTATATAACAGCCTTTTGATTCCTGAATATATATATATATTGTAGAAAATGATATTCTTCAACAAGTTTTCACCTCCTATTTTCTTTTTTCCCAGTCACCTTTATACTTATAGATTTTTTTATATGATATAGTTAGGTGAAAATTATTGCTTAGAGTATAGTAGGCTACTTAAATATAACAGATGGCTGTTTTTCATGTGATAGGATAATTGATTTAAGTTGAAACAAAGAAGTATATGGCAACAGAATTCACACTATTCACTAATATAATCGAATTTAGCTATTTGTCAGCTAAACTTTCTGTGATCATTTGCAAATCATGTAATCCTTTTGTTAGCGTTTATCCATTGAAAGACTGATATATTTTTGGTGTTTTGGTGGTAGAATGTAAGACAATCACACATGTGGTCCGGGTTTGACCCTCGGCTGACGTGATTCTATACCTCACCTAGCCGGTAGTAAGGCCAGTAAAGAGGGTAAGTTGGATTGACAAGCTAGCAATCCCATACTGTAAAAAGACGAAACTAGTGAAATTTCAAAGTCGAGCACTTGAATCTTTATCTTCCATTCTGAACGTAAAGAAGTGACTGCACTGTATACATGCAAATAATCCATTATCTAAAGGAGCTGTTACTTCGTTGTACCTTCAGCGTCTACTTCAGATTCAATGACGAAATCTACAGGCAAACAGATGGTGTAGCAATGGGCTGTCCACTGGGACCCCTCCTGGCCGACTGTTTTATGGCCAGCCTCGTAAACAACTTCTTGTCATCGACTATTACTGGCCTCTATCTTTACAAGAGATACATTGATGATACTTTCATCATTTGTGATGAGAACCTGGACCCTGAAAACTTACTTCAAACCTTCAGTAATGCCCACCAAAACATCGACTTTACTCTTGAAGCTGAATCCGACAGAATGTTCCACTTTCTCGACATCCACCTAAGAAGAAACGCCGACAACTCTCTAAAAACGTCCATATACAAAAAGCCTACATGGAATGGAAAATTCATCACTTTTCAAAGCTATGTACCCCTAAGCAGAAAGAGGAACCTTATATACGCTCTTTCCTTGAGGATTCGGAAGATATGCGGCGAGGAAGTGATTGACGAAAAACTGCGTAATCTTCGAGGAACCCTAATGGAAAACTTTTCCTCTTAGGTTCATAGACAAGAATCTAAAATCAAAGAAGACTTCTGAACAAGTCCAATCCGTCCCGAAGAAGATACTTCTGCTTAATCTAGAATTCAGGGGTGACACTCAAGCAGAAATCCTTCAGGAACGCCTTTGCAAATCTCTGAGGTAAACATAATTCCCGCAGGCCTACAACTGACGTTTACCTGGAAGAAACTGTTCACCCAGAACGCGGAAGACAAGCTGTCGCATTGAGTCACTTCAACGTGCATATACCAGTTTACTTGCTTGTGTGGAGCCGAGCACATCGACCACACCATGCGCCAACTTGGAAAATGCGCTCGTGAACACTATCCAGCCTGGCTAGTAAAAGGTGAACGAAAATATGTATATAGTTCAGTGACAGAAAATCTGGTCAACTCAGGACATTCAATACCTTTCGAAAGATCCTTCAAAATCATATACAAGATATAATCAAACCTATCAAAGGGAACAAAATCTAGACATCTGGGCATAACCGAGGCATTAGCCATTCAAAAGCTCAAACTCACGCTATGTATCCAAAAGAAATACATCCAACCCTTGTCCTTGCCATGGCCACATAAGCTGATAATTCTTTTGACAGTGACTATCCCATTACCTCTCTTATCCAAACTTCCTGTTTATTCACGTTATTTTTAAGTTTTTCTCAAAGCCTATTTACACTACCATATTTCATATCCAAACTTCCTGTTTATTTTGTCATTTTATTATTTCTACATATTTAACCCCTGATTGCATAAACAGTTATTCGTCACATCAGTAATGATCCCACTAGATTTTTTATCCAACCATCCTGTCTATTTTGTTATTTCTACATTTCTAACCTGTATTTGCACAATATGTCAATCTCCTAAGTAATTAGGATGCTACTTTGTTTGAGTTTTATCCGTTCCACCTCCTGTTTATTATGGCATATTAATTCCTAATTGTAATTTTATTAATTTGACCTTTGACCTGAAATGTTTCTAGGATAATACTACAAACTCCATACCTTACCATTTGTATCCTCTCTTCGTGTTTGTTACACTTTGTAATTTTATTAATTTGACATGCGAATCAGTTATCGAACATTGCTAAGAGTGTATACAGTTTTTATCCTGTATCTTGTATTATTTTCTGCTTCACCCATCTAGGTCTCACAGTACACCTTCATTATGGCTTCCTACAAAGAGCGTAAATCAGATCCAACTGAAGTTATGCAATTAGAAGGATTCACAGTAGACTATTGTGATGTACAAAGTGGTATGTTATACAATAATTATTTCCACTGTTCTTATGCTGAATTGATTATTATTTTTATTCAATTAATTTGTTAAGATGTTATATTAATATAATGTATTTGATTAATTATTGCTTAATTATCTTCAGATGATAGTTAGTCCTTAGAAGTTAATTGAATTTTTCTTTTCTTTTTTCTATTTAGTTCTTAGTTACTTTTACCTGCTTCCTTTGTTTATCAATTTTTTCTTTGAAAAAGATTATTCAATTATCTTCTATCAAAATTAATTTAGAGGAATGTTAAGCTTGTAGGCAAAGACTCAAGTCGGTATTGTGACTATGTTTGATACAAGTTAACAAAAGAAATTCTAACAGCAAATAAAACAAATTCAAAAGTGTCTTATGTTCAAGAGGACAGGCTCCATTATTCATTAGGGAAGCTTTTTTACACAGCCTATATTGCTATTAGATATGCTAGCTGAAAATAGGAAAGGAAGCTGTTTCATATCGCCTCAACAGAAAAATGTCTAATTCCTCCATCAGTTGTATTAGAACGCTGAAATTTATACGAATTAATAAACAGATTATAAACACTGTTGATTTTAAGTCTTATCAGGTGGATGAAATTCTTTACTGTCAAGTGTAATTAATGAATTGAGTGAAACAAAGCTTCGAATCAAGGGAATTCACTTTATAAAAAACAAAATAATTGAGAAAAGAATATCCTTTTCGATAATTTCCTCTTCTGGCTCTACCCTTATATATATATATATATGTGTATATATGCATAGAATATTCTAGAGTAGTAGGCAATAACAATATTAGTATTCAAGTGATGGCTTGTAGGGATTTGATCGATTGGTTAAAGGATTTCATCGTGAGCTGACATCGGTTAGAGAACCATTGGAAAACCAGCTGGGAGTACTGGACAGCTGTTTCCTCAGCATAGCCCGGGACTCTTCAGCAGTACGCACCCACCGCCAGGGTGCGTACCGAGGACTTTCTAGTTACAAGGCCAACAAGCTCGTAGACCTTTGAGCCATTGGGACCCGATCCAATGGCGGATGCCATTGTCAGCTCATGATGAAATCCTGTAACCAAACAATATTAGTGTTTTTAAATAATATCGATTCGTTAAGTAAGATCAATGGAATCACAATTCATTAAAGATGCATAAATTATAATAATAATAATAATAATATAGTAGCAAATAGAATATCAACTGAAACTAAGGAAACTTCTACAAAAAGTTGAGGATCATTCGAACCTAGATGGCGAAAGTAAGGACAATTTCCGAACTAGCTCCTTTCGGATACATAAATTAGGTTTCTTAATATGGATCCCGACAGCCCCAGTAATATTTAGTAAACGAACTCTTAAGGCGAAGTTAAGATTTGTTGGTAATCGGTAAATGACTTTGAAAGCCTGGCTGACATCAGTCTTGTGTTTTGTATCCACAAGGTGAGATAGAATAGAGCTACGAATAGATTTTGTTTGTGCTTCACTTAACCACGCAGGGTGTTTTTCGGAAATCCGACGATAAACACGCCTAATGGAACAGCCTATGTAGCTGGTTCCACATGAGCAGTCAAATTGGTAGATACACATAGAAGAGGCGAAATTAGGTAGTTTATCTTTGACTCCCGAACTCAAAATAAGGGTGGTTTTGAAGACACAGCATAAATGAACAGTAGTGAATGCTCTTTTTACCACATTTCTTAGGTGTTGTGTTAATATCTCACTAATATTATCCCAGAGAAACCGAATTTTTAAGAATAAGACCTTTTTCGGAACTGTTGGTACTTTGGCCTACCTTGACTTTTGATTCATATTCTTATCGATGAATTTTTCTGGGCAACCGTTCTCACTGAGCAGCTGTTCAATAATATTAATCTCTTCATTAAGGCATTGGTCAGAGCAGATTGCTCTTGCTCTGCAGGCCAAGCATTTTATTAGATTGCGTTTTTGTTTCAAAGACACAAAGGTGAAAAAAATGAGTATACTGGTTTTCTATATACACTTCTTCTTATTGTGCTATCCTCTTTTCTGGTCATAAGGACATCTAGAAATGAAATATTAGAATCTTTTTCTTTCTCAATAGTACAATTTATTGCAGGATGAACATCGTTAAATTTGTCCAGGATGTTCTTTGCTTCATCCTCATTTTTCATAGTCAAAAATGTATCATCCATGTACCGACAATAGAATTCAAGTTCATCAGTTATATCTTTTAAATGCCCATTTTCTAGTTTCGCAAGGCAAATGTCGCCCAGAATATTCTGTGTATATTAGCGTATATATATTTATTATTGTAGAGCCAGAAGAGGAAATTATGGAAAAGGATATTCTTTGCTCAATTATTTTTTCTATAGATGTCTAAATGAATGTTTTCGCTATATTGGAATTCAGTTTGTCATATTTTTACAAATCGATCGGAAGGTTATATGTTTGAAAGGACTCTTTTCTTGGTTCATAACTTTGTGTCATTTTTACTCTGATTGCCTATAACCAAACAAAAGCTGGTCAATCACAGTGTCCAAAAGTATCGTATCATCCAATTTATCCGGCACACTTCATTTTTCGTTGACAGATTCTGGACTACTTTTGGAATATAATCTTTTCGCATACATGGCGTAGTGAATGATGAAATCAGTCTCCACCTGAATATCCCTCAATGGCATATCCTTTAATGCCATTACTGAGTAAAGCAAATTTGAATCCTTAGAAAAGCGTTTTACGTACATTTTTATCATAGGTGAAAACAGTCATCGAAACTAGATCTCACAGTCCATCTTACTAGTTGATTTTCATTTTTTCTCCAAGTTAAGATCGATAGATGTTCAAGTTTGCTCGTAATCTTTACATTATTTAAAACTTGGCCAGCAACATTTCAAGGTTTATGCATAGAAAAACATTGTCATGATGGAAGGTTCAGACAAATAGACTCACCATCTGGCACTTCCAAAGGTGAAAAATTAAAATTATTTCAGAAGAACGAACATTTTACTTAGCAGAGAGTCAATTTCGTTAACACTTATGATTCTGTTCTCTCATTCACCCCATTTACTTAATTTCCTATAATTTGTATTATTGCACTTACCCCCAAACCTCAACTTTACTGTATCTGTCTGTTCTTCAAATGTAAACAATGTCGTTATTAGGTGGTTGAAGGCAATCCTCACGAAGCCTTGAACCTAGGCTTTGTGTTAGTTGGCACTCATCAGTCAGCAAGATGTATCTGTAATCTTGAAGCAACTTATGTCCCTTTTGAGATTCGAGCCCTTGTCAACCAGTGCTGCAGTCAGAGATGTTACCACAGAGCTATGTGGACTCGTGAATGACCTTATGTAGAACTGTATTATATACTTTTGATTGGACACTGATGAGTGTCATGTTTCTCGTCCTTTGTTTACTGCAAACTGAATTTTATCAGTTAAGTTTGTGATGTGGCCACCATACCACTAGGTGGCTCGCCATCATGGTGCTCTTTGAATTGTCGTGGGCTCGAATCTCAAAAGGGAGATGACTTCCTTCAAGATTGCAGATACGCCCTGCTGATTAATGCCAATTACCACGAAACCTAGGTCGAGGGCTTCCTAACGATTTCCTCCAACCATCTTATACCAACAGTTCACAGTGCATCGTGATGGCGAACCACCTAGTGGTATGGTGGCCACATTGCAAACTTGACTGCTAGAATTCAGTCTGCAATAAACAAAGGATTAGACACATCACACTAGTTAGTGTTCGATCAAAAGTAAACAATGTCAGCAAGAGATTACAGTTGTCTTTTTGGTTGATAGAGTTATGACTGTTCAGTTGATGCAATGATATTTGAGGTAATGAATATTTCTCAGTTATTCACTCAACAAAACATTGATTAATGTTATCATCTACGAGTAAGGCTGTAATGACAGCTTACTGGATTTCGATAAGTTACTTTTTTTTCCCCTATCATCCCAACGTTGACATTATCTTATCTTGAAATACTTATCTGTCAAAATATTTTATTATTTATAATATCTATGCATAAAGTTATTGACTATCTTTTGTTTCCATTATACGGTATGCATGTCTATTAAAAAGTCTATTATCTGAGAACATTTTTCTGTCTGCAGTAGAGTAGAATTATGGAATTTACTATAATGAATGATATGTATAACTGATGGAGTTGAACAAGTTAGTTATTCGTTAGACAGTAAATTTGTTGATTTCATTTGAGCAAATAATTCATAAAAATGCACACATCTGACTGATTGTACTGTAATGTATTCGTGCTTTTCGTGAAACGAAATTAATAAACGAATTAAGACGCACTTATTCTGCTCACTTAAGTTTAAACAGCCTTAACGTAAGTGCTGCTATTTAATGCTTATTAAGAGAATACTTGTAAAATCCAGATTTTTGGGTATGTAAAAATTTGATAAGTTTCAGTAAAAGTTTTGTCAGAAATTGAAATCAGAATCGTAAACAGGCAGAAATTGTAATCCAGTGGTCTCAGATAGTTGAATATTAATTACGTTCGGCGTTTAACCACAAGGTCTTGTGTCCACAAACTCTATGTATGATGAACACCAAGGTTTATGCCACAAAAATTGATAAAAAAAGCAATATAACTGAAACAGATTTGTTCACTAAGGCCCAACAAAATGCAGATAAACACGTAAGCCTACTTATCGAAAGCATTCACTAGAGGGTTTCTTGTGTCGTGCCGCTTTTAGAAAGTAAAGAAATTAGGAAACTGCAGCGTGCTTGCCACCGATTTCTATTATAAGCCACATAATTGCCATCTTGAGACACTGAGTCGCATCGTTTCTTGAATCCCTTCCAGTGACTCATGATACACCAGCAAATGCGATTGCAATACAAACAGTCTTCATCTAACAACTCCACACCACAGGATGAAAATCCGTCCTCAATATCCATCTGGTCGAAGGGCTAGCAGACACTGGAAGCACATTTCCATGCCGCCGAACCCAGTATTCCAAGATAATCTCCACTGTGTCCAAATATCTACTCTTTGGAACTCAGAGTTAGCTACATGGTGGCTTCACCGAAAGCAACAGATTCTACGAAGATTATCAAACATACTGAGTTGCTATACATCATCAAGTTGAACAGGTGTAGCATGAAACTGCGTGCGCCTTAGATTTATAAACCTGACCCTTGTTTCCCTAACTAACGTCACGTCGGAAATAGAGGTGGCCCAATTTGACGTACATCTCCCTGTCTTTCACTATGTGAAAAGAAATTATTTCTGTTACATGACTATCGGCAACTGGATAAGTGACTTTCCCATCTGCTTCTCATGGTTTACTGCTGAGGGTGAGTTCAGGTAGAGGTTCTTGCCAATCTCGCAAGAGTAGTTTACACTTGGAAGATGCAAAGCGCATACAATACTTATGAATGGTAATCATCGAATGATTGGTTCTGCTTTAAGTATACTATATGTTACCTAACAGTAAGACGATGTCATGTGCATACCTAAGGTCGATAGGTCTTTTTTAAGGCAACAGACCTAAACCATCATCAGTCACAGCTTTCTTCAGAATTTCATAGACGGGGAAAATAAGGAGAAATGGTGAGAGTGGGCAACCATGTCCAACCCCACTGTTAGTTGAAAACAGAGGTGATATGTGGTCTCATGTGCTCACTTTACCTCGTCTGTTCTTCTATAAGGATTCAGTGGTGTTGATGAACGTTTCTGTGACACCTCTCCCTGACACACCATTCTAAAGAACATTTTTTTCAATGAACAAAAAATCAATCTTCAATATCAGAAAGTACAGCCGTCGACCTGAAACACATATGATGTTACTCTTACATGTGACAGAGGGTGAACATGCGACACTCTAGTCGGTTGCTTGATTAGAATTTCACCATCATCTTAAGTAATGGCCTAAGATAAGTTGTCTGATTTCGATGCCTATTACAATTTAGCTATTTTGAATTCCTTCCGAACCCTTTCTTCTTTCTACTGATGAACAGCGTCAAGTTACGACGGGATAGCTTTTCAATGTATATAGCTTTTCAATGTATATAGCTTTTTAATGATATTCTGACAAAGTCTACATTAGAATTAGTATAGTTGTTTATTTTGCAACATATTATCATAACAGTATATAATTATTTTAAAAATTCAAAGTGAGCACTATTTTTCATGTGGGCAGAATATTTATTGATAGTTTTTTCATGGGGAAATATTTCCAGCTGGTAAAATATGTCTGAAAGCTGCTCATTTTGAAGTAATTGGTTGTGTGACTATTTCTTATGATATTTAACAGATGTGATAGATTCTTGACGTATTCTTAAAAAATAAATTTGATACCTTATTCCTTCTTATAGATTTAGCATCAACTGGTGGAAAGTACTTTTTTAATTTGGTTAAAGAAGGCGATAGTGTTGTATTTGCAACAGATGATGAAAATGAACGTCAATTATGGATACAGGCAATTTATCGGGCTACTGGTCAAACGCATAAACCTGTTCCACCATCGAAAGATGCTACAGGGAGTAATAACACTAATCTTCAAAATGTGAATCTCTCTTCTGGGAATAAATCATCATCAGCAGCTATTTCTGCATCACTTTCTCGTGGGAATGCTTCAGCTGTGGGAAACAGAGCACAAGGAGGTAAGCAACAATGTATTTATGCCTATGTACTACAATTAATTACTAATCCCAATGATTTATTTCATTGTCCACTCCATATCCACTTGAAACATATATATACACAAACGAATGATGAAGTCTTTGAAAGCTTAGTTGAATGGATATCATCTTTTTGTTGTTCTTATTGTAAGCACACTTGAAAGACGTGTAAAGCACTTACATATTTTAGAAATAAATAGGTCATTATGTATATATTGGAAGGGTGTATATGTTGTTTCAATTTCCACTTATTTAAATATTAACCTATACTCAGAATCTTGTTTCAACGAGTGAGAGTATAAGTTATTGCTAAACAAACTTATCCGATTTTCGTCGCAATATGTCTGATTGGATATAATGGAGGCGATCAATTACGATTTGAATTTACTCAGTTAGTTGATCTCATGGGGTTGATTGATTGATTCTTTTAAAGATATTATATCAGTCAACCTTTTTGCGGAAGTAGAATGCCTATTTTTAGCGTTTACTATGCTGTTCGTGAAGATATCTCGCTATTACTCTTATCTTCACCCTATTTTTACAACTTTTACGTTCTCTTTATTTCTCACTCTCTGTATAACTTTTTTCTCACTGAAATTGTTCTGTAACTAAGATCCCTTACTGAATTTATGTAAATTTACTTCCTCCTCTCAGGAGAATAAAATAATAAGGTTATTTAGGGAAACAGCTAATTATATTTAGGTGGATATATATAGAACATGAACTATAGACTGTATTTTTTTATTCTTTTCGTTCATTAGAACAGCTAACTTTAATAGTCATTTCAAACCACCTGTAATCTGAAGAGGTTTAGATCATTTCTGTTCGTCTAGTGAGCACTACTGTTTTCGTGCTTTTGGTTTCAATCTACACATATCAGTCACAAGAATATACCGTTATGAAGACCCATATAAACAAGGGATGGTTGAACCACACAGCTTGGTACGCTCATACATATACGAAGTAGTAATAGATTTTCACAATTCACCTTCAACACATTCCATTCTATCTATCTGGTCAGTTGATTTTAAAAGCTTTTCTTCGTCTCAAAGAATGCTATATGATTTGTTGATGTAATCCTCACGATTTAAAATAACTATAGCCGATCCTTTATTTGGACGAATTAATATTATATGCCTGTTATTCAATAATTCATTCAGTTGTCTTTAATGCTCTTTTGATGTCATCTGTCGTTGTTTGCATCGCTCTTTTAAGTATTGACAGCAGTAACGCACTATGGCACATTTGAATTGTTCTAGATCTGCACTAGACTTCGAAAGGAGATTCTCTCTGAGACATAAGATTTTTGAACAGCACCTGTGAATCTAATTTGTCAACTCTGGATAAGATAGTACAAAATTTATCACCAAGAAATAGTATTTGCATCTGAATGCCAAACACAGTCATATTAGAATAATTAAACACATATATTTCTCT